CATTCTGTTTAAATCTTTATCTGCTTCAACTCGAAGCACTAAAACGATGAAATTTAGCTTTACTGATTAATAGGAAATGCACCATAACCAAAGTTTTCAGCCTCAGGAGTAATGTAACTTCTAAACAAAGAATGAAATCTAGGTGTTAATGAAGTGAATAGGGGTTTTACCACTGACTTGCCAGAGTTTCACCCCAAGATGTTTATTGTTCTTGATGCTTACGTGTCACAGAGATTATCTGTAAGTTTCCTAAATTTTATTTTGGGCTCTGAAGGTATTATTTTTGAGAACCTAGGATGAATTAAAAACTAAACAACGTATGTTGTGGTACTCAGCAAATTCAGTAAAGAAAAGCCAACGCTTTAAGTAAAGAAGCTATTATTCCCTAATACTTTCCACAGTTGCATGTTACCAGAGCACGAATAGCATGTTTAAAGACTGTTTTGGTGCTATATGAGCTCATCACATAGTATCTTGTAAGCATTTAGTCCAAAGTCTCAAACTTCTGATCAACTGTTTATTGAGCATGCAGCTTTCAGATTTCATTAGTCTGAAAAAAAATAAATGTACATATCGTATCTGGCATAAAGCTAGGCTCCAGGAAAGCAAAAGTAATAAGATCTAACTCAGTATTTGTTAAAAGCTAAATGTTCAAAATGCTGAAACACGTACAATTGCAAACAAACCCGCTACATGAAAAAATGGTTCAGCGGGACACGTGTGTGTGTGTAATATATAAAAAACCACTAAAAGTAAGATTTTTGTTAAAATAAAATGCTGAATAAAATCGATGCATTTCAACAATCTCAAACATCATGAAACAAAACCTTTTATGGATAGTCTGCTGAAAAGGGAAAGTAAACATTAAACAAATAAAACCCGAGTTTATTTAAATGTCTCTGAACAACTCCTATTTTTGGTTTTGTTAATTTTCAAAACAAACAAAGCAAGCCATATTCCCTCTGGGCTTGTCTAATTTTGGCCTTGTGGAAAGTCTTTGGGGGACAATTGTGGTCATACAAAATTACATGAAAGGCAAGGGCAAGGTATTAATTGTGTAGGATTAATCAGTTTCTACTGTAAGGTTTATATGAATGGAATAATCCTAGGATATTGCTCAATTTTAAATTTCAGGCAAAGAGTTTTTCAGCTTCTTTCATTTTTTTTTTCCTATCCACTTTAGAAACTGCAGTCCATCCAGCCTCTCGCATTTTTCTTATAGCTGTAAGTTTCAGTGCAGACCCAGGAGATTTTAGGGTTGACGGGGTTGATACCTAAGAATAAAAGCAAAGCAATCAATTGATTTTGTTAAGATATGTCAAGCAATTTATTTTGATTTGAAGTAAAGCTAAAAACATACCTTTTTTGGTGTCATGCCATGTAAGCGGGAAGCTTGAGGGTAATCTTTATATAGTTTTTTGAACATTTGTTCCTCAGCGACCATGCTCTTAAGTTAAGGAAAAAAGTTAATCACTGATACAATAAAATATACTGGGTTTCTGTCACTGTTATTGTCTAATAAAAATGTTTAAAATATTACCATGGAGCCTCCTCACTAGTAAAACAAAATTCTGTCAAAATCGTCAGGGAAATTAGTTTAGTACAACTGTAATGATTATGTATGTTGTTTCTGTAGAATGCTGCTCAGATCATATTCTAGAGTTTTTAGTTATGTACACTTAAGACATGGGTAGCCACATGTCACAAATGACACAGGCAGCCTCTGTGCAGCACACAGGAGATCAGGGAGGGTTACAGGCAGCACAGTGGCAGAGAACAGGAAGCAGAAAACAAAGCAGGAGATTGGGTTGGGAGCACAGGGCGGGGAGCAGAAGGCAGAACGGGGGAAAGACATTGGAGGGTGCAGGGCTGATTCGTGGCATGCCTGCCAAAAAGATGGCCCCCACCGATACAGAGTGACAATTCCAAATATTGTCATTAAATTCCCATAAAATACATGCACTTATATTTGTATTAGGTATGGTATATGATATCCCATCTACGATGCATATATTTTCCCATACAACAAAGAATGCACAGAATAACACTAGGTGCTGCTTAGTTTTCAAAATTTTACCAAGAGGTCATTGTGTTCTGAGCTATCTGACTGTGTATCCAGCTCTAAAACCACTTTTCTCTTTTTCTTCAGGCCTCCTTCTAACAGAGGGCTTGGGCCTTCTCCTTGCAACTTATATTTTGGGGGAGTCTTCACAGTATATGTCTAAGGGAAAATAAAATATTTAAATGTTAAATTTAAATTATGCTCAACAAAATTTAAATTAAATTATAATTAACAAAAATTTAAAATATTTCTAGAAAGAATTATGGCAGCATGGGCCCTTTAACAACATGAAAAGTAAATTAATTAAATAAATAAACACACTGTAAAAATATCTAGGTTACTGTTCCATAAGTAACAAACCTTTAATGATGGAGTTCCCAAAATACTTTTAGCTGGTGTGGCAGATAATATCTCTTTGTTTTCCAAAATGTTCATATTAGCAGGTGTGAAATTGTGGGTGAAAGTTTTTTTTGAATGAGCTGAGTCAAGATTTAAGCTGCTTTTAGGAGTCTCCAAAAGGGAAGTTTGTGTTTTCTAAAAATATTAATAAATTAAAAACATTTAGCGTGAAACTTAAATTGTATCGCGTAATATGACTATGAATATACATTCCAAATTAATTTATAGACTCAAAATAAAAAATACCTTGTGCTTTTTTTCTTTTTCAGGAACCACATTTTCTTTTGCTTCTTTTGCCAGCTTCTCCTATTAAAAGGAGTTATGTAATAGTAAATGCTCTACAGCATGCATGTTCAGCATTCAGTCATAAATAAATATTTGGATCGAGATCCATCCAGAATGTAGTCAAAACTCAGAAGACAATTAAAATGTAGAAACATGAATTTGCATATGCTTTTCTTGCTTATAGCTTTTTGCATATATCTGTTATTGAACCCACATAGCACACTTTTAATCAGTATCCAGTTTTTGATTTACATAGTGACAAGTTTATTTCAGGCACTGCCATTGTTCTCCTGCTGCCAGGTTTTTGGCCCTTGGGACGCTAGATTCTGGTCTGTGGGCTGTGGGTTGACCACCCCTGTTCTAGAGTCTTTTGGCACCTTTGCTTCACTGCCCACTAATGAGTAACACACAGCACTTAAAAGCAAAGAGAATAAGAAACCAAGAATCAACCTAAATCTCTTCCACTGCATTAACTGCTATAGCTGCAAGGTCAAATCGGGAAATACAAAACAGAATGCCGTAAGATGTACCTTTTCTTCAATCTCCACTTGAACCTGTTTCTTAAGAGATGCTAGTTCACTTTTCACACAGGATAGTTCATGTTCCTAAAAACAGTTAGCTTGTAAATTAGCCATATAAATTATTTCATTGTAATATTTACATATCTACACATATTTAAAATAAGGGTACTGGGTACCTCCAGACACAGTCACTCAGTCCTATAATATAGTGAACTAATAGAGTTTCCTATCTGAAGCACATGAATATTCACTATTAATATGTCAAGCGGGTCATTCTCCTTCTACAGAAATACTTGCAAACAACTCCTATTGAAAGGAAAATGTCACAAGGGTCACTTACTGAGTTTCAGGCAGATGAGGAAGTAGAAGTATACTCTCAGCCACTTCTGAAGTGGCAACTACTCTTACAGCTTCCTCCACATGAGGCTACTCAGAGACAGGAAGACAGTAAAGGTAGTGCAGCCCTGGCCTGAAAGTTAGTTGTTTTTTAGGAAACCAAGTACTACTAAGAAATGTATTGAATGATGTGTCCAATTCTGTTCAAGCCAAGCCTTTTTTTTCTCTTAATATAATATTTTAACAGAAACATGGAAAAGTAGATAATTTATTCTATGGAAGAGGTGTCACCTAACCAGACAGAGGTGAAAATATTTACCTTACTTAAATTTCATTTGAAACACTGTGTATTATAACTACGATATGAAAAACAACAATAAGCAAGTACACTACACAGAAGTTAGGGGGCTGACCTAAATGTACCACCCCAAAAATGTACATGCCTACAACAGAGAAAAAAAACAACTGTTCACAAAAACAGAAAGGCTATTATTTGTGATACTGTGCCAGGGTAGCAACTGCTCCTTTTCTTTTCTCTGTAGTTATTCATTTTTTAAAATACAGATCTTACCAAAGTTTTTTTGGTTGATGTTTGTTCTTGTTCTTTTGTCTTAAAGCATTTTAATTCTGTGTCTTTTTCTTGGACCATTTTATCGTACTGGTGCTGTATGAAAGAGGCAGTCATATGAATATATGAAATAGATAAAAATTATGCTTTAAAACCATCTAGGATTTCCTTTTTGTTCAGATGTTGCAAAACAAAGATAAAACTACTTTCAAGCTTCAGAGAGACCCATCTTTCCTCCAACAGACACCTCTCGCACATCAGCTGTACAGTACTATTTACTAAGGGTCCCTTTCCACATTAAGGAATCAGATGTACCTGTGTGCAAAGGCTGGTCACACTGCAGCAAGTTCTATTTGTGAAAATATCTACTAAAGAAGAATGGCAAGGAAACATCATTAAATTATCTTAAACTAAACAGTTCAAGGCCACTAAGAAATAGGGTCATTAGGAGAGAAGGCCAACATTAACACCAAAAGATAGAACCTGCAATCAAACGTCAGACGGCAAATATCAGAAAATCCTTTCAACATCCGTCTCTTAGAACGGACACGGGAACATTCAAAATTCAGGTTACCTCCTAATATCCACGTTCTGTTCTGCAGAAAATGTGACATCCCAAAATTTATAGTTACAAAAACATCTGCAAAATGGGGACATCTCCTTTACATCTTCCCTATAACAGTATGTGAAGTTGCCAGATGCTGCTATTACAGTTAGTGTTATAATTTATGTTGTGTATTTTGAAGTTGGATCTTGGAAAAATCAGATATTGTCATTGGGGGTGAGCTTCTT